ATGAAACTAGAAGGAAAATTCCAGAACTCTATTTCTTCTCTTCTGTTGAAGATTGATGACCTTACTCATTTGTGCAGAACTTTCCAACTCAAGAAGCATTTTCACATTTTTAGCAATAATTTGTTTAATTTTTTAAAGTTTATCTACATTTTATGTATGAGTGCTGTGTATGTATACTTGCATGGCACAAGAGAGCATCAGATCACATCATAGTTGGCTGTGAGACACCACGGGGTTGCCGGGAATTGAACTCATGACCTCGGGAAGAGCAGCCATCTCTCCGACCCCTCATCTTATTTTACTTGACAGTCACAATCATAGCTGTGTTAGGATAGCTTGAGTGTGCACTAAGCTAGGTTCATTACACACTTGGTCTCAGTTATATCTTAAAAAAAACATAATTTAGGCTTAAGTAGACTAAAAAATTTTATCAAATTTCCATGGGCAAACCCAGGGGAATTTCAATCTGGTGTATCTGACTTTAATGTCCCTTCTATTGGGTGGGGATGTTGTTCAGTTTGTATTGTTTGCCTGGCATGTATGAAGCCCTGGGCTTGATCTCCAGCATTGCATAAACCAGGCATGGCAATACACATCAGCAAGCCCAGCTCTGGGGAACAGAGGAACAGGGGCACCAGGAGTTACATAAAGAGTTTGAGGCTAGCCTGGGCTACATGAGAACTAATTTTTTAGAAGTCCCTTCTGTTAACCACTGCATCTTACCAGCCATACCTAACTTCTTATACCACTTTTACAGCATCTTGCAAAACATTTTAGTATATATTGTGACCTCTCAGTTTTACGGGGACAGAAACAGAGACCAGAGAGGTTAAATGTTTGACCTGAGGTCTCCAAGCCAGGATTCTAAGCACGCCGCTGCTGTCTGCTGCTGTCCCGCCACACCATGGAGCCTCCAGTCACTAAAGAGCAGGGAGACTGGTAGCTCCTTCCTCTCCCACAACAGCTGAGCGCTTCAACGTTAGCTAGGAAGAAGGAAGCTGAAGCCAGCGGCTCCCAAAGCAAGTCCTTCATCATCGTGACTTTCCTGGCTTTTCTCACACAGCAAACTGGCTCTTCTTTCTTTTCGTAGAGAAAGAAGAGCTAATTCTTGAGGACACAAAACTGTAGATGATGAAACAAGGTAAAAAGAGGTGAAGGAAAACCATTTAAATACAGGGTGGGTGAAAGACATAGGAGGGATTAAATCGCATCCTCCTGATGTGTGGGCAGGGTTGGTTTGTGAAAGCCATTAGGTAATCAAAATTAATATTTGCCCCTATAGAGATAACAATTTTCCTTTATAAAGGACTCCATGCTGGAATGAGCTCAAAGGATTTCCCAGATGCTGGTTAATTACCCTACCCACGAACAATTTGAAAAGTAGGAAAAGGGAGAGGTAATTATTCCCATTTTACAGGTTAGGAGACTGTAACCTGTACAAGAGCACAACCTTGCTTAAAACAAGAGCTGAAAAGAGCAGGCCAGACTCCTACAAGTGCCTTTCCGTCTCCCATGTGGACACAGGCTTCCTGCTGGTAGATGTCCCCTTGAGGAGGACAGCCCACTTACAGGCCAAAAGAACTACAGCTCCCAGCAGACAGTGAGAGGAGACAGGGCTGTGCCCCTAGTGCCCATTTCAGATTCCCAAATATGGAGAAGGACTGGGCTTTGGACGAGGAGCAGCACGGACACCCTTAAGAGAGGGGGAGGATGAGGTAAGTTTAGAATATTTAACTCCATCTCCTCAGTGTCTGTCCAGTGTTTGGAATGTAGCAGCCTGAAGTCATACTGCTGTAAGTCTTTTGGGAAGATCTCTCTGGGGGCAAGCAGTCCGTTCAGTTGCACGGTCCTCTCAGGGCAGATGTGTGAGGGAAGGGCCACTTGCAGAACATCACATCAGATTCCCACGTGAGCAGCTCAGAAAGCGACGGTGGTGGCGGGAGGAGCCCTGCTGCACAGGGGAATTCCACAGGCTGGGGCCGCTGGTGCCCTGTCTGATCCACAGATGTGTCCAGGCAAACAAGGGTTACTCATTTCTGCCTTGGAACCTGCCCAGTGGGAAAGCCTGAAAGTGCTGTTCCTACCACTCCGTGTTCATGCTGTCAGCAAACACAATGAACACACTCACCTGGTTGGAGGCGCTGGAGCCTACCCGCAGGTGGCAAGCAGAAGTCAGAGCTCTGCCTTCAGGATGCTTAGTAGAGACGGGACAAAAGGGAAGGAACGACAGTGCATGGCAGTGTGGCACGGCAGTATGGCGTGGCAGTGTGGCACGTGTGCCTTCCGGCCACTGTGTTTCGGCCAGGCACCTACCATGGTGGAGTGGACGTCAACACAGAAGACTCTGTCCTAGATGTCTTCTGGTAACCCCGATGTCATGCTGCAAGAGAGTTTGGGATCAGATGGTACATGGCCTCAGGATGACAAGGACCTTTCCTCTAAGGGTTGTAGGAAGCTGTGGTTGTTTCAGTTGGCTTGGTTTTGGTTCTGTGGTGTCTGACCAAACCCAGGGCCTTGTGTGTGCCAGGCAAGCACCCCACCACTGAGCTTCACCACCAACCTTTAATTAGAGTGTTTCAGACAGCTTCTCAGCATCTAGCATAGACTGCCCTCAAATTGGCGATCCTCCTTTCTCCACCTCCCCAACACTGGGATTACAGACGTGAGCTGTGCTGCCCCTGCTGAATCCATTGTTCCTAAGCGGTGCCATCTGTGCTGGCTGAGTAACGGGGACTATTAAAGAAAGTCTGAGAATGGATGGTGGAGTGTCTCAGAGCTGGGCTGGCAAGGAAGGCTTAGCTAGAGGCCCAGTGGACTCGGCACTTTAGAGCAGTGGTTCTCAACCTTCCCAACGCTCCACCCTTGAACAGCTCCTCAGGCTGTAGTGATCCCCCAACTATAAAGTTATTTTCATTACTACTTCATAACTGTAATTTTGCTACCGTAATGAATCATAATGTAAACATCTGATATTTCCAATGGTCTTAGGCAATCCCTGTGAAAGGGCATTTGGCCCCTCAAAGGGTCGCGACCCATAGGTTGAGAACCACTGTTCCAGGGAGAGACATTCAGTTGGGAGGGACTTCTGAAGTATGGAATGGAGTCAGGATGGCATAAGGCATTTCCAGGTTATCCATCTGCCCAGATGTATGCTCATGGTGGGGAGTAGTGGATGTCAAGCTTGAAAGAGAAGATAGGAAACATTTTGAAGCCTTTATATTAAAAGACCCTGGGCCTCGGGCCAACAATAACAAGACTTGACAGGTCAGGGACAGTTTTCTTTCATCAGTTTAAATGTCTAGTCAGAACCTGGTCTTCATCAGGTGGCTGATGTTGTCTCCAAGAGATCTGTTGCTTTGTTTTTGAGTCTCAGAGTGAAACCAAGGTGTCTGCATTGCACAGCTCCCAGGAACACCGTTTGCTTTGCACGGGAAAGGTAGTTCTTGTGCACACTGTGATCCGCAAGGCGAGGGGCACCGTCGTGTGGGACATCAGTCCTGCCAAAGCGCACAGTGTGGCGAGGAGATGGCTCATTGGTTAAGAACACTTAATTGCTCTTGCAGAGGACCCGGGCTGAGTAACCAGCACCCATATCAGGTGTCTTACAACCACCTACAACTCTGGTGCCAGAGATCTGGCACCTTCTGACCTCCTGGGGCACCTGTACACGCGTGGCACACACAAACTCCCACCGGCACATACACATACAATTAATAAATCTTTTTTTATATGGCACATGGCGCTTTAGTAGCCTCTTCTTCCCCAGATTAAAGCCCAACCGAAGGGGCATAAAAGAGGAGTCAGGCCCACGATGGAGCGAGAGATGAAAGGGAGGGGGAGAGCTGTGGAGTCCGATGATGACCCTGAACCAGGGAAAGATGGTTATCTCCGGTCCCCCAGCCCCTGGTGGTGACGATAAGCCGAAGTCCACATTAAGCACGATGCCAAGCGCTTTCATTGGAACTGCTTTTCCTTTTATCTGCATTCTGGGAAACCACGGTGCCCCTGCACCAGGTCAAAGCAGACTGTGTCCAAACTAAACGACAGTCCTCTCCTCGCTTTCTTTTTCTCCCAGCCCTCAGCGCGCTGAGAGAGGAGTATTCACAAACAGGGAGCGGCAGAATGCTGCGTGGGTGGCCTGTTTCCCCAGGAAAAGGCAGGGATGGAGAGCTGGCGTTTACATGTCCATGACCAAACTGGGTCCCATGTAAATTCTCAGTAATAGGAAGTAGCAATAAGACAGACATTCCCTTGGACTATCACACTGAGGTCCCCTATTCCTCCCAACATCATAGACCCAGAAGATTCCAAAGAGAGTCACGGTGTTTACCAGTAAGCGCCTCACCGCTTCTACTCCCTGAACGGCCGCTACAGTTAGAATGTGCTGCCGGTTACTCCATGCCCTGAATGCAGCTGGCAAGTAGACACGGCCCCCCACCTCCCTTCCACTGTTTTTCTTTTCTATTCTGGTCTTTGTTGATGTTTGTTGTTTTGTCTGGCCCATTGGTTTGTTGTTGCTGCTCTTGTTTCTTCCTCCTCCTTCTCCTTTTGGAGGACTTGTTTTGCGTTGAGACATGGCCTCATAACCCAACCTTGACCTGGAACACAATAGCCTTCCGCTCCATTTACTGGGGGCCTGGGATTAAAGGTGTGTGTGGTGGTTTGAAAGAAAATGGCCCCCAAAAGCAGTGGCGATATTAGGTGGTGTGGCTTTGTTTGTTCGTTTGTTGTTGTTGTTGTTTTGTTTTGTTTTCCGAGGCAGGGTTTCTCTGTGTAGCTTTGGGGCTTGTCCTAGAACTCACAATGTAGACCAGGCTGGCTTTGAACTCACAGAGATCTGCCTGCCTCTGTCTCCCAAGTGCTGGGATTAAAGGTGTGTGCTGCCACCACCCAGCAGGAGGTGTGGCTTTGTTGGAGGAAGTTCGTCTCTGGAGACCAGCTTTGAGGTTTCACATAGTCTCACGCCACGCCCAGTGAGACAGACCACTTCCTGTCCTCTTCAGATCAGCATGTAAAGTTCTCAGCTACTTCTCCAGCACCATGTCTGCCTGCACACTACCATGATCCCAGCTGCCATGCTCGCTGCCGTAGGGAAAGCAGACTAAACCTCTACAACTGTAAGTCACCCCTTTAATTAAATAAGAGTTATCCTGGTCATGGGGTCTCTTCACAGCAATAGAAACCATAACTAAGACAACATGTGCTATCATACCCACCCCCAGTCTGTACACTTAGAGCACCCCCTACTTACCTATATTGCAGTAACCATCAATTCTAAAGTGAATTCCCACATGACAATTAACTCCTTTGGAGTTCAGCTGTACATATTACTTCTGTACTTCTAACTTCTGACCCATGGAGGGAATATGTGAATGTGTTTTTTTGTTTTGTTTTTTCTTTTTTTCCGAGACAGAGTTTCTCTGTGGCTTTGGAGACTGTCCTGGAACTAGCTCTTGCAGACCAGGCTGGTCTCGAACTCACAGAGATCTGCCTGCCTCTGCCTCTCGAGTGCTGAGATTAAAGGTGTGCGCCACCACCGCCCGGCATTTTTAAAAAAACTTTTATTTTATGTGTATGGGTGTTTTGTCTGCGTGTGTCAGTGTGCATGCCTGGTAACCACAGAGGCCAGAAGAGGGCATCTGATTCCCCTGGAACTGAGTTGCAGACAGTTGTGAGCTGCTATGTGGGTGCTGGAAATTCTGGTCTTCCAGAAAAACGACCTGATGGGGGATGTCCTTCTGTATATATGTTTCACTTATTGGTTGATGAATAAAACACTGATTGGCGAGTAGCCAGGCAGGAAGTAGAGGTGGGGCTACCAGATGAGAATTCTGGGGAGAGGATGCAGAGAGGAGCCGCCAGGTCCAGGCATTCTCCGGCAAGCCAAGATGACGTGGAAACGCTTAGATTAATAGAAATGAGTTAATAATTAAGAGAGAGCTAGGCAATAAGAAGCCTGAGCCATCGGCCAGACAGTTTATAACTAATATAAACCTCGTGTGTTTATTTGGGCCTAAAGGGCTGCGGTACCAGGTGGGAAAGAAACTGTCTACAACCACCAGAGCTCTTAATCTCTGAGCCCTCTCTCCAGGCCCTGGGTCCATGGATGCTTATTAAATGAATGAGAAGAATCACTTGGCTTAATGAGTAGCCAGGCTTCTTGAAGCAGAGAAATAAAGAGGTGTGGCTTTTCCAGGCCTATTACCTGACTCAAAACACACCGGTTACTCGGAAACTTGAGTTCTCCACACATGCTCTCTCCAGCCCTCTGCTCACCTCAACTCCTTCCACTCCTCATCCAAGGTTTGTATACCCCAGGCTCCCCTCAGGTTCTTGTTTGGCTAAGGGAACCTTCCAAAGTAGCCTTTCGAAGAGAGAGCACACTGAGTTCTTGGATGCAGCTTCTTTTACTCCTCTTCCTAGGGCAGGAGGATGTGGGTGGCCTGTATTCTCTCTAAATCTCAGATCCTCTCCTCCCCCAACCTCAGGGAGGGAGCGGAGGTGAAAACTTGATTGTGTTAAAATGTAGGGCCGGTGTCAACAAAACAGTGAAGGAGAATCAGTACCTAGCTGGGAGGCTGAAACTAAGACGAACTGTCTAGATGCAGGGCGTGTTTAAATGGATTTCCACAGTAGGGATTGTCTAGCTAATGTGAGACCCCCAAGAAGCACTTCCTGTCCTGGAATTCTGTGCTGGAGGCCAGCTGTGCCTTCCGGAGACCCAGCTTCCATAGGAGCTGTTTGGATCTGCAGTAAATTAGCTTGTCCTGAGAGGAGAAAGCACGGCTCCCCACATTCACTAGGTCAGGGTGCCCCGCAGCACCTCCTCTGCCCTAGGCAGCGCAGAACAACGGTCTCCAGTGTGCAGAGTGGCCTGGGTTAAGTGGGCAATCTCAGCAGCCCGGGACCCTCAGCAGATGGGCAAGCCAGGACTCAGGGGAGCAGAGGCTCCCAACGCCTCTGTGCCTGCCGGCTGCCCCATCTCATGTTCTTAACCCCATGACTACTCACTGAACTATGGGCCGGCCTTAGTCGTTTTGTTTTTCTTGTTTTGTTTTGCTTTCCTCTTTTGAGACAGGGGCTTGCTATGCTGTTGCCCAGCTGATCCTGACCCCCTGAGCTGAAACAGTCCTTCAGGCAGGTCCAGCAATCAGGCTTAATGGTCTTCTCCATCAAAAATGTCTGTGGTGCTGGGGATGGATCCCCGGGCATCGGGTTGGCCAGTCGGGAGAGAGTCTGGACCAAGCTTTATTCAGAGAGGCCCGTCAGACACTAGGACAAAGCACATACAGTGCTAACTCTGCAGATACACATACGAGGACCCCAAGGTGTCCTCTCTCCTAGCCACGCCAGGAACGAGTAAGGGCTGACAGGGCTAGGCAGAGGAGGCAGGGTGACAGGGGAGGATCTGGGAGTAGTGTAAAAAGCCCTGGATCAGAGCAACCAGGCTCTTTTTCTATTTCACACAGATCAAGCTACTCACACTTTAATTCCATGCTCTCGGGAGGAAAGGGGCTGGGACTATGGGGTTGGAACAGAGCTATGAGGATGTCACTGACCAGTCTCAACCTCATTGGGTTATAAGGGTAAAATGCAGTCCTTGCTCAAACAGAACCTTGAGTAATATTGAGTACCATATACAGAAAGTTGCATAAAATCTGTACGTTTTTGTATAGTTGAATCTCCAAACCAATCAGTGTGTTTCATGGATGTTCACCCCCCCCCATTTCCTTTCCCTCTCCTGTCTCTTTTTTTTTTTTTTGTTATTGTTTTGTTTTTCGAGACAGGGTTTCTCTGTGGCTTTGGAGGCTATCCTGGAACTCGCTCTTGTAGACCAGGCTGGCCTCGAACTCACAGAGATCCGCCTGCCTCTGCCTTCTGAGTGCTGGGATTAAAGGCGTGCACCACCAACGCCCGGCTCCCTCTCCTGTCTCTATCTCAGTGGTTCTCAACTTGTGGGTCACGACCCCTTTGGAGTGTTGAACCACCCTTTCACAGGGGTCACCTAAGACCATCAGAAAATACAAATATTTACATCACGATTCATAACAGTAGCAAAATTACAGTTATGAAGTGGCAACAAAAAATAATTTTATGGTTGGGGGTCACCACAACATGAGGGACTGTATTAAAGGGTCACAGCTTTAGGAAGATGGAGGACCGCCACTCTGTCTGGCGCTGGGACTAGCAGCCAGGGCCTCCTTCCTGTTAGCTAAGTGCTGTTCCACCCAGCTTTACAGGTATTCTCAAGGCACAGATGTTTTGCTACTCAAATGGCCCAGGCTGAGGTTCTCTGTGATCCTCATTGGTTAAATCACTCAGCCTCTCCTCAATCCTGACAAGCTCCCCACCTAGTCCCTATCTAGCTGTCTGCCACTGAGTTCTAAGTTCGTGATGGGAACAACCCCAGACCCATTTTCTGAACAAGTCAAATGCGTCCTCATCCCTGGACTTTTGCTCAGGTGACCACTCCTACACTGCTCTTAGGCCAGTGTGCCAAAAGCAGACTCTGCCGTGTCTTCCACAACCACCGCTGTACATGACGCAGGAGGTGCCAGAGGAAGGCGGAATGGCCCCCTGCTCCCCCCACCCTCATTAAATTTTTGCTGCTATTCACAAGATGACTGGCCTGACCTCACCCTGTGAGATGCCACAGAGATTAGCTAATTAATGATAGTGACTCCCTGGGGACATTGGTTTGTTAATATTTAACAGATGCAGCTGAGAGAGCAATGACCCAGGAAGGCAATGGCAAAGGCTTTGAACATCCTGGACCCTCAGGTATCCTGGTGTACACCCTGGGGGGGGGGGTGAGGCCTGCCCTCTGTTCTCAGTGCTTCCCAAAACCTGCACACCACTCTTGGCAAGGCACAGCCCAGCATGCAGGCCGGAGGTTCAGTCACACCCCACCATCCAGTACACACATTGCCCCTCTCCTGGGGGTTCTAGACCTCTGGGGATTCTGGGAGATCTAGAGGCCACCATCACTGCTTTGGATCCTACTCCCCATTCCAGGAGCAGAGAATGGAGCCTGGAAACATGAAGGGGATAAAAAAATGGATAGCAATGGCCACTGGCAGCGAATAAATCAGCGCAAAAGGCCTGTGCCAGCTGCAGGCCGCTGGGAAAGTCAGCGCAGCCTGGAATTATTCTGTTTACACGCAATACAAACCGATAGTTCTAACTTAACTTAGTAGCGTGTGCTGCAGTTGCAGGCCATTCATGAAGACAAACGTGTGGCATAGCTTTTCCCCTCCAGATTCATTCAAAGCCTTGGCACTACTCCACACCAAGTCTTGCTATTTTCCTGGATAACTTCACTGTCTAAACAGACCAATTATTTACAAACTGGGGATCACAACCCATTAGTGTGTCATGAAATTGAGTTAGAGGGTTGTAGCAGCATTGTTTTTTAAAGGAACAGAATAGGAACATGCCAGTACTTCACCTAAAAGAAGTGTGGTTTGGATCTAAAATATTTACTTAAGTAATACACATTGTATAACACTTACTAATGAGATATGATTTCAATAATATACACATATGTAACAGATCATAATGTAAACTACATTTTTATTGTGCATCATAATAACAGCATAGAATATGTGTATGTATGTATGTATGTATGTATGTATGTATGTATGTATATCTGACCTTACAAGGGAAAAATTTTTTCTGACAGTTGGGACATTATAGTAAGTGAAATCAGCCAGCTACAAAAAAGAAAATATTACTCGGTATGATTTATATGAGGCTCCTAGAATAGCCAAATTCATGCAGAAATTCATAGAATTGCTCAGGCTGGGGATGGTGTCGGGAGCAGAGTTTCAGTCTTATGTGGTGGAGACGATGGTGGGAACCCTTGCTTTCAGGGAGTGTGGCGTTTCAGAATCCTACCATACTGACCAAACTCAACTTGAGCTCACTGTATAGTCCAGGCTGGCCTTGAACACTCCATCCTCCTGCCTCTGGCTCCCAAGTTCTAGGACTGGAAGTCTGTGTCACCACACCCAGCCCCACATCTTTTCTTCCAGCGCCCCAGTTCTGGGGCTGTGAGCCCAAGTTCTTTGGGACGACAGTAAGCACTTGATGTGAGCAGCCATCTCTCCACCCCACA